ACAATTTTAGTAATTACTTGTTTCTAATGATTCTTCAACAATTAACAAGCAATAATTTCCAGACATATAAATGCTAAGATGAACAGAATGGATAATTAAAATATTTGCAATACAAATCATGGCTCAACTTGCATACTGTTCCAGAATTACAATGCCAAAATGATATAACTTCATGGATTACAAGAGATAAATTAAAAGAGCTACACTAATTCTACTCCTAAAAAGCAAGGTAAAAATGGCCAAGAATTAGCAATACCCAAAAACGATCAAGCTTGGATGGACATCAATCTTCACCAAGTGCTTCCATCACATCTAGAGTGAACGAGACAAAGTACCCCTAGTTGAAGGCACACCTAACACCTTAAAAGTACGCTTGACGTGATGATGAGTTCTACACCCAACAAACTTGTGAATTGGTACTCCCATCACCTGAAAACCCGCAAATCAACATGTAAGGTAACCATTCATATATACATCATCCCCAACTCATTTCTCACAAGAATTTCAACATACAACAACCATTTTGGATTGATCACCCAAAATCACCTCAAAGATGCTTCATAACACCAACAACCCACCATTCAGTCTTTCCACTTTCCAACAATCAAAATAATCATCAAGATTTACAATTCAACAATTTAAGTGGAAAACAACATGTACACCACAAAATCAACCAAGATTGGTCTAACTTCCCTTACCTTAACTCCAAGCGAAAAGATAAAGAAGAAAGAAACAATTCCTAGCTCCTAGTTTCGGGAAACTCCTCACCAATACAACTTGATTCTCAGCTCCAACAACTTTGAACCACAACTCTCTGATTCATAAGGATCTCCTACACCTTCGGAGATCATAGAAGAAAAAAGGGAAAACTTTAGGATTCTAGAATATTTTTCTCTAATTTATCTCTCTAGATTTTCTGATAAATGAATTTATGAGACTTAAATCCAAAAAAACATTCTAAAACACTTATAAACTCTTAAGAAGTTGTTTAACTTGTAGAAACCTTCAACACCACAATACATAATTATTGTTAAAAGGATAATAATTAATAAAAATTTATAGTATTATAGGAAATATTAAAACTTTATCAACTTATATTTTTAGAATTTTATTTTACATTTTTTATTTATTTAAAAAACTAGCATAGTTGGTTTTTTTTTTGTTCGTCCCTGGAGTATCCACCGCCGACAGCAGTGACTAATCTCCTCGCTACGTTGGAGACACCTCAAAGGGTGGGATAGCTGGCCCCAAGATTTAACGTGGCTGCATACACAAGGCAGGATTCGAACCCCTGACCTTGCTTAAGCGTGGATCAACCCCTACCGCTGAACCACACGCTAGGGGTTACTAGCATAATTGGTTTAATGGAGCAAGACAACTATTTACACTTTAATTATGCATAAACCCGAGTTTTTTGAGCAATTAATTGGTCCAACTTTGAAATAACTCGGTTGAAGCAAAATGTGAATCTGAAAACAGGTGAATGTGATCAACATGAGTGACTCCGAAGCTGCCACGTAGTAACTCGGAGGTTTGCGGTTAAGAATGAAGTACGAGAATATGGACTCTGGTTTCTTTCAAGTTTCAACACAACAAACCCACCACAGCATCAACCCAAAACAAAGGAAGAATGTCTCTGAGAGTTGCAGCAGCTGCTTCACGCATACCAAGGCCCCATAGCCATAACCCACCATTCCTTTCACTTTCCACTCTCAAATTCCATTTCCCACCTTCTCATCTTCCACTTCCCACGCGCTCTCAGCGCTACAATATTCGAGCAATAAGTGAGGCAACTCACGTGGAGCCTCAACTTTCTAAGAACCAACAGAAAGAGTCGCACAAAGATTGGAAGATTAAAATGCTCTACGACGGTGACTGCCCCCTCTGCATGCGCGAGGTGTTGTGTTTGTCGCTCATAATTGTTGAGTTTTGGCGTGTCATTCGTAATGATAAGAGTCTTTTGCATGTTGTTGTGATCAGGTGAATATGCTAAGAGAGAGGAACAAGAGTTACGGCACAATCAAGTTTGTTGATATTAGCTCTGATGGCTATTCCCCCCAGGACAATCAAGGCCTTGACTATGAAACTGTCGGTCACTTCTCATGTTTTCTTCTGCTTTTATTAACTTTATTTAAAATTGAATTAGTGAAAACAAGCTTGTTTTTTGGTGGTTTGATCTGATACAGCTTAAAGGAGTTTTTTTATTTTATTATTATTTTCCATATTTAAAGAGGATTAAACATTATGTTATTTACACCAATAGCTACCTTTCTATTTTGCTGATTGATTCAATGACAATTTTCTTTTAGACTAAATTACACTCACACTCCAGTTTCGTTAAATTGCACGAATACGTACCTCTCAGTTATTTAAAAATATTACCCTAACAGCTATGGACATCATACAAACTTTCCTTAATCGTTTGAAAAATATTATATTATATCTCCCTACAGAAGAGATTGTCGTAAACATTTAAAAAACAAGGAATTATGTGCAATTTTACGAAATCTCGTAAGTGTTAATGTAATTTACTCTTTCTTTTATAGTTGCTCCATGTCACCTAATCAAACTGTCTCTTTCTTTCTTTTAGGTTATGGGAAGAATTCATGCCATTCTCTCAGATGGAACAGTGGTTACAGATGTTGAAGTATGGCTTCGATAGTAATATAATGATCTGGATACAAATGCTTTTGAATATTCTCATGAGTTCTAAGTTCAGAATTTTAGATTTACAGAGAATTCAGAAATTAGAACATTACTGCCAGTTATATGACTCTCACAGTTCATTCTTGATATACATTGTGTAGTCCCAGTAAGACTTAATATCAATATCCAGTTACAGCATAAATAATATCCTGCTGCTGAATTATGAAATCTTTGTACCGCCAATGATTGATTACTTTCGTTCAATAAGAATCTGTTTTTGTTGAGTGAAATTTGATACTTGTTCTAACATGCTTTCGTGTGCAATCAAGTTTTATATATTTATATGTGCATGAGTTTAATGGTGATGGGACATTTTGCAGGCATTTAGGAGATTGTATGAACATGTTGATCTTGGTTGGGTTTATGCCATTACAAAATATGAACCAGTAAGTCTTCCTATCATAATTTTTGCAGGACTTGTTATCCTGTTCATCCAACATGGAGAAATCCTTACTTCCGAAAATGTAGCTTTTTTCTTTATATATTATCATTTACTAATGGAGAAAAACAACTTTTGCAGATTGCAAAATTTGCTGATTCCATATATGGTGTTTGGGCTAAATACCGTCTTCAAATTACAGGTAAAAGCAATGCACATTAATAATTTTCACAGGGCCTCTATTCCTCACACTAAGAGCTACACCTCTGACACGATTTTCACAACAAACTTCATGTTTCCCTTCATGATCTCCATGCTCTCTTATAACAGTCATTCCCCCATCCTATGTAGCAAGTTAGAAACAACCTCCTAAGTAGCATAAATCACGGTTGGGTTTTCTTCCTCACTATTGGCTCATCACAATGTTATATGGCTGCATGTAACACCTTATATAATTTTTGACTAGTAGAGCTGATGTACTCATGTAGAATTTATTTAGTTGGAACAATGTAAGCCTGAGAAGCTTAAGATTATTGTGATTGGCTACCCTCTAATCTTACACTTGATGGCAAAATCAATCCATCAATGAGTAAAGAATATATAACTTAGTTGCCCTTTTGTTCCTAACTATTTGTAGCAATAACTTCCACTGCCTGAGAGCAAGACACGCCTCTATGGTTTTGCTAACCGGTATGTTTATGCTAATATTCTTTCAACTTACATGTAAATTGTCCTTATTGATGTTCAGGAAGGCCTCCTATAGAAGAAATATTAGAAGCTCGAAAGAAGAAGGTATACAACTAGACATACTCAAGTGCATAAATTATCATTTAAATTCAGCATGGAATGTGTCTACAGAACAAAACATGTAAAAGGAAGATGGCAAGAAAATTTGAACAAGTAGGAAATTTCAAAGTCAGAGAATAGTCTGAATTTTGGAAGAATAGAATTCTTTGACATCATATACATTTTACAGTCAAGATTGAAGACTCATTATTTTACCTTTGCCTATTATTATGAACGGAATAGCACCTAATGCATAACTTAGTTGAAAGCAGTTTATATGTTGCCAGATGCTTCATACACCACAACAAAATGATAACATATGGTATACGTTAATGAGAATGTTAAAGAATTCTTGAATAATTTTACTTTCTAGTATTACGCGTTATTTTTCTGGCCTATAGTTTTACTTTAATTAATATGCCTAACAATATAAAGTTTGTACTGCATGGTGCTGATCTGTTATCTGGTTTTCTGTCCTTGCAGGGTGAAGTATGCAAAGATAGCAATGCTTGCAAGATGTGAACTTCCTTAATATCTGATTCCAGAAGGCTCTTTATGCATGTCTTACATTGTTACCAAATTTGTTCCTCATCAACTGAAGGCTGAAGCAGATCTTTATTGGTCTAATTATCATAAAAGAAGCCAGCATACGTTAATGTCACAACATTTTCCGTCTTTGTCGGCATATTTGATAACCGTCTTCAAAATTTGCTGCAATGCATCTGGCATAGAAATGAGTGTAAATAAAATATACTAGTCTTCAAGATTGTATTGCATGTCACCAGCGTCTGTTGAATTACCAATATCTACACTTTGGTACTTTTGACATCTGAGATAGCAGTGACATATTAAGAAGTTTATTTACGTGTATATAATAAACACAAAAAGATGATACCTTGATATTGTCAAAGGAAATAAGTGGACTTGCTTCAGTGATGATGTTCTCAAGTTATCATTAGTTGATATGGATGTCAAATTCAATTGCCAGATCATGGGCTTGTCGTATTTTACTCCATTTACTTTTTAACTTCGATTTCTTGCACTTCCACGATGTATAGACACGTGCAGAATGGGTGAAAATTTTAAGGTTTTTCAACTTTTTCTTGTTTTAGTTAGGGGCTCATGACAGCATAACCATCTTAATTTCTTACTAGTAGATAAACTCTAGTAGTTCGAATGATTATATTTTAACCAAATGGCAGTGCTAGCTAGGATTACGTTTAACAAATCATTAATTAAGCAACTTAAAGTATCATGTGAGCACATCTATGTTAAGTGTAATAAAGCACAATTAGTCACTTAGAACAACTTATTAGGCACCATGTGATATCATATACTTTTTAAATTGAAAGAATAGTAACACTATTTAATATAATTTTTTTATTATTAGTTGAAATTTGTTAAAAAAATTATAAAATTGTGTAGCTCTACTCTTTATTTATTTAATTTCATTCATGATTTTATAGTAACAATAACTAATATAAAAGAGTGTGCTAAAAGAAGTATTTTGTTGGTGCCGTTCTATTTTTACATTAATGTTTCTCAATATTTTACTTTTTAAGTAATTTGAATTTAACAACTATAACTTTGTTTGAAATTCGATCTTACATTCTCATCGTTGAGATTCCACATCATTTGCCTCAATTTTCAAGTACAATTCATATATTTATTAGACAATTTCACATAAATTTAATTGATTTTAAATTAAAATTTAATACTCGCAAATCAAAAGTACTCGATAAACAATATTTTTATTGTTTTTTTCATATTAATTTTTGTCATGAAAAAAGAAATAAGGACACAAAATAATTATAATAAATATATATTAAACTCTTCTCTCACTATAAGCCAATGTTATGTTAATACATCTCAATCCTAAGTCAAGTGTGTCTACTGCTTATTTGTTGGAATTTAATGCATGTTTGATAATACATTTTAAATGTGATTTTTGCTTCTATTTTAATTATAATTGATAACTTCTATTTTGACGTGATTTATCACCTTCAAAATTTTAACCAAATACATACTTATATTAATGGTGTTGAGCTTGGCTTATGGATTTTGCCATGGCCTAATTCTAAAATTCCTCCTTTTGTTCATGTTTTAAAAAAGATAGAGAAATCATGGTAATCATTTACACCGTATTTGTTAATGTTAGAGTGAAAATAGGTTAGAGAAAACACTTAGATCGATTGTGCCATTTCTTAATCGATTAAAACAACGATTACGATCGTCTGCAATTTTTTTTTTCAATTGCATGGATCTCAGCCGTTGAAATAAATATTACTTATATAAAATATTAATAAAAAATTATGATCATATATTAATCAACGGTGAAAAATTAAACTGCACGTGCTGCAGTTATTTTTTAAACTGCAGGCGAACCGTATCCTTAAAATAATTTTGCAAACCACCTTGATGTAGTACAATCAATCAAAATAACATCTAATATTAGTTTTTAGTTGTGGACTTTACAATATAAACCATATTCATAAATAAAAAATAACATTTGATAATAAAAATTTATTTTGAGGATTCGTGACTCGTAGATTAAGTGGAGACATAATAGTAAATTAACTTTTATTTATAATAATTATTTCTCTTTTATTTTTCTCTTTTTTTATTAATCCAAACACTAAATTCTATTTTACTTTTATCTATTTTCATTCACTTTTTTTTCCCGTAATTCTCTCAATTTTATTTCTTACTCATTTATTTTCTCGCAACTAACCAACTTCAAAGATTTTTTTGCTCAAGTTTCTCGTTGCCTGTTCCACTACTCAATGCATGTGTGTATTTATATACTACTAATCAGTGATGATGAAGCATAATAAATTATACATAAAGTACCAATAAGTTGTCCGGTTCAAATTTTGTATAAAAAATATATTTTATTAAAGATATCAGTTAAATTTTTTTTATACAGATAATTATTAATAAAATTGATAGATAATTCAAAAGTTAAAATATATTTTTAATCTTTTAAATTTAAAATTATTTCTTTTTATCTCCCAAATTTAAAATTATAATTTTTAGTCTATATAATTTTTAAAAATCTTATTTTAGGTCATCAGTTTACCGATAACATATTTATAAATGACAAATTGATATAGCTATATAATATCAATTTAATTTAATATGATATTTTTACTAACAAAATATCAATAAGTAAATTTTATACTTGATAAATTTTTTAACAAAATTTAAATATAAGAACTAAAATAAAATTTTTAAAATTATAAAAATTAATGATAATAATTTTAAATTTAAAAAATAAAAATAAATTTATCATAAATTTAATAGATTAAAAATATATTTAATTTAATTCAAATGAATGATATAGTTAAAAAAGATATGATTAAAAAAAGTTATTTATGATAGTAAATTATCATCTGTTTCCCGTGAGAGAGCAGCAATAGTACAAAAAATAAACGTCACTTTCGGAGTTGGGCTGGTGCCAAGGAGTGGAGGACCACGGCACAAATTAGGCTTCTGAAAATGAACAAAATTGGAGTCTATGGTCATCGTTTGAGTTTCTTCATACAAACATTCGACACTGTCTCTATACTTTCTTGCATTTTGCACCACTAAAATCTACTATCGGGTATAATAATAAAATAATGAGTATTCAAGATTTTTAACCAATAAAGTAAGACCAGATTTGGAAGACTAAGGAAACTAGAAATGGGAAATAAAAAGGTACTGTAATGTACTTTATATATTCAAGCAAACAAAGACACAAAGTTTACATGACTAATCATACGAGCACAAATTAAGTAGAAGGCACCCTAAATAAAACACTAACTAATAGTCTAATATAGCACACACATGGCCATAGAAAACACAAGTGCACTCTTATAGTACACTTAAAGTTTGGTGCATGATGATAATGTAATGAAAACTAAGGGCACTTGGTCTTGTTGCCATGGGTGGTCATATCAGTGTAGCATGTTCCACAGAGTTCTCTATTTCCAGAAGTACCAGGTGGGACACACTTGCACCTCACACAGCACGTCCCACATGCCCTATTGCACAGGTTGGGCCTCGAATGAGAACTGCACCGAGACTTGCACAACCCACCACAATCTGAAAAAAAAAATAAAAAAAAAAACGCCCAGAAATCAAACTCCATTTCTTTCCACAAATTTCATTATTGCAATGTCACTAATTATGAACTATAGAAAATAGAAAGTGTAAGTGCCCAACTCTGGGAAAAATTATTTCAAAGATTAATTACCTAAGTCTTGCATCAGCCTTCTGTTCCCGTCTCTCACGATAAGCTGGAGAAAAATCCAACAAGATCAGTTACAATTTATAGTCACTGCATCAACAACTTTACTAAATAATAACAAGTAATGTTATATATTTTTAATCCATGAAAAAAATATAAAAAATAAATGTTTTTAATCCTTACAAGTGGACTAAAATATTTTTAAAAAAAATCATAATAAGGAAACCAACATGTTTAAGCTAATTAAAATGACACTAAAAATTAATTTTAAAGCATACTGGCTCATTAGGAAAGTGCAGTTCTTCTTCTTCTTCTATCTTTAGATCAGATGAAACCTGCATGGAAAACAACCAAAAGAAATGAGAAAATTAATGGAAATAAAATCTTCCTCAGATTCTAGTGACACAAGCTGATAAACTAATCCATGCATAAGAAAATTTAATTCTTGGAACTATGCTTTCATTAATAGATAATAGTGTACCTTAACAAGGGACACTAGCAGCAACATCCCGAACACAAGAAGTACGCGTGGCGCCATAGCAGCAGAGACTCAGAATCTAAAGACCAAAGGGTTTGAAGTTTGAACTTCAAATCTCAACCAAGAAAGCTAGGTGACCAATACACACACTCCACAGTTCAAACATTGCTAGCATTATATAGACGAAAGCAAAAGCAGCACTGGGATATTTCTGTGAAATGTCCAAAATATCTACCATTAATACATCACATTTTTTTAACTCATAAATTATATGGCAGGGGTATGATTGCAAATATGGGAATTCGTTTTGGAAGAATAATGATAAAATAAAAAAAATAATTGTAATATTCTAAAACGTGATTCTTCCATTTTATAATTTTACGAAATGGCAGACATCTGTGTTTGTCGGGAATAGTGAAGTAGTGTCGGATACTAAAATTGTACTAAATAGGAATAACATTATAATACTATAATAAATATCTCACTGAAACAATTCTTTACAAATTCACAAAGTAAAAAAATATAAAATTAATTGGCAAACCTGTTGGTATATATATTCGAAGAAGTAATTAATCATTCTAAATATTATGAAAATCTAATCACATAAACTTTAGTTTTGAAATATGATAGTTTATTCTTATAAAAAAAATTGTATTATTTTTTTCTAGCTTAGTGTGGGAATGGTAAGATGTTGACGTTGATATCAAGTTGTGGGCATTGATTGCATACAGCTGGAAGAAAGCTGGAACTTGGAGGAGTACTCTTCACTCAGCCAATACATATCGCATTACACAGACAGACACCCCAATTCTGACACACTATTCAAACGAAGAAACCTAATCCTAACCTATGTCATTTAATTAAATTATTTAAAATTTAAATTATGAAATATATTATATTAGAAAAGAAATATTTATTATTATTTATAATTTATTTAGTGATGTTATTGTTTTTATAATATGATAGGAATTAGAAGGGAAATAATAAATTGATGTGGAGGAAGAATGAAAATAATTTGAAAGGGCATGTACCTTCCGTACTGGATGGCACAACAAAACGACAATGCATGAGTGATATGATTGTAGGCATCCCATCCCTTGAATAAAGAAAAGTGGATTCCACTTTCTACCAAAAAGGTTCCAACCTTAGTTGGCCTGCTCAAATTTTGAAAAGATCAGGCTTCCAGCTGGCACTTACGTCACCTATGCACTTTTATCCTTTTTTATTTAAATACAAATATAACTTGTTTTTATATAAATTACACATTTACACTCATATGTTTAGATATGAATTGATAAATATTATTTTAATTCTTTTATATAATCTTTTAAAATTTTTAAATAAAAAATCTTTTATAAACACTTTTAACTATTCCAAAACTTTCAAATTATTTTAGTCTTTTACCGGATCACTACAAAAAAATGTGTGATTTGTGGCGGTTATTTTGGCCGTTTCTAGCGGTTAAAAATTGCTAGAAATTGCATTACCGACGTAGTTAATAACCACCGGATCTACGGTCGCCAAAAATCGTTTGTGGCGTATATTTTGTAAACGCTGGTTTTGAGCGCAAGAAAATGTGACACAAAACAAACTAAAAAATGTGACATACATACCCTGCGACAACTCTTGTTCAGCTCTCCTCCTCCTCTCTCCAGTTGCGGGCTTCATTCACAGTATTGAAATTCAGAAAACAAAGGTAGTTAGGGATTTCACAAATCGGAAACGCGAAGAGAAAGAGAGAGAGGGTTACCGATTGAGATTGCAGTGATTCTGGCGCGGAGGTGGATGCATGCGACGCTTTGTTCTTCCTACCTGGGAGGAGTTTGCGGAAATGAGGGTTTTGCGAAAATCGAAAGCAAAAAGTTGAAATTGAAACGTACCATGCTTGCGAGAAGCTAGCGTGTGCTTCACTCTCGCCATGGGATTCAGTGGAAGAAGAAAACTAAACGAAACGAAACTTCACTCTTCCGAATTGGTTTTCTTCAGTTTCGCCTCTTGCTCTTGCATTCTGTTTTCTCTTCTTTCTGAAATTTTCATTTTCCCCAAATTTTTCCCCAAAGTACCCCTGCCTAGCACAAATTGTCGGACTTCGTTTTAAATTTTTTTTTTTTAAGTTTAATGTTAATAAAAAAATTATTAAACTTTCTAGCGGTTTAAAATCGCCAGAAATTGCCAACACTTGTAACGGTTACCATTCATGCGGTTTAAAGCCACCAGAAATTGTCAATAATTTGTAACATTACCATCCTTGCAACAAAAGTAACACTTTTTGGCAGTTTATGGAAACCGCAAAAAAAAACTGCCAGTAATTACCTATGTTTTTTGTAGTGGATGTTAATAGGTAAGTACTAGTTAAACAAAGCACTATTTAATAGAATGAGATTTAGAATTTGTGAAGGAATAATATTTTATATAAAAGAAAGTTAAAACAGTAATAGTTTTTATAAAAAGAATAAAAATCTTAATAAAAAAATTAGAAGATGACGATTTTAATTAATAATAGAAGAGTGAGTAATCACTTTGCTATTTAAAATTAGAAATATTATTATATAAGTTTTTGAATTAAATAAATATCAAATAAATCTCTTAACTGTAAAGTAATAATTACAATAATCAAATTTAAAAAAAAAAATTCGTAAAATAATAATATTCATATATATTTAGAGAATAAAATAATAATAATTTTAACATAAAATATACAAATAATGCTAATGTAATATAATATGTTAAAATTTTAAAATATATGCATGGAGTTTGATCTAGATAACATCAAAATGTTAGTAACATTCGTTAGCACTATGCTTAACATTTTTATTATTATTTAACTGAAACTTATTAGTAAACATAAATTTTATGAAATTTTCTTTTCATTTAATGGTTGATTCACACAAAATCACTATAAGTAAATTATCATATATAGTGACACATATGTAGTGATATAATATGTGACACTAAAAATTATTTTTATTTACATAATAAATATAATATATGTTGGTATATTGTTAAAAAATGTAGATATAAATTATAATGACATATAAAATATATTATTAAATTTCGTTCAAAATTAACATTAAAATTGTGTATAATTATATATCAAATGGATATATTTATACATATATTATATTTATAGTGATATTTTTTATATATTACTGTATGTAACATTTTTTGTAGTGAATTAATGATATTTTAATAAATTTTAACTAATAATATAAAAAGTATTAAAAAAAAAAGTTTTAACTTAATAACATGCCTGAAGGGCTGGTATTCCCAGTTTCTCACACTCAAACATAGGATGCTGTCATGAAAGTGATGCAACCAATTGTTAACAAATTGGTCTACAAAAGCACGAGATTCTCTTCAAACCTACATGTATAATTGACGTAACTGGGGATACAATCATATGCAGTATTTTTAATTCTAAAACGTATAATTTGAATATAATTTACAGTTAAATATGTTTTTATATTCTCTTAAACTTAAAGTAAGTTTTTAATAAATTTTTTAAAAATAGTCCATTTGCATCCTAACCTTCCCTTCAAAGGAAGAGAAATAATATCACTACAAAAAAAAAAAAAAAAAATTTAGCGACCAACAAAATCGGTTGCAAAATTGTTTAAATCAGTTGCTATTTTCATTAGTGACCAATTTGAAGTAGTCGCAAAAATCCTGGTTGCAAAATTATATAACGACAGAAGTATACTCGGTCGCTATTTAGTGACCGAAAATTTCGATCACTAAGTGGTCGCTATGATATTATGGTCACTATTGTATATGAGGACCAAATTGGTGACTGAACCAGATGTCGTTAAATCGGTCGCTAAATATGTTTTTTTATTAAAATAAAAACTATTTTTTTAGCGACCGAAATTATTTTGTCGCCATTTTAACCAATAATTATTATTTTAGCGACTGATTAAGTGATCGATTATTGGCCACTAAAAAATTTGGTCGTTAATTCAGTCTCTAAATAAAATTTGTAACCAAATCAAATTTGGTCGCTAATTATGTCGCTATTAGTGACGGGAAAAAAATCGATCGCTAATTTTAGTGGCTAAATTGACTTTTTTTTATAGTAATAGTAATTTAAAACATATTTCTAATTATTAAATTAAAAGATAAATATCTAACAAAATTTAAAATTCTCAAATTTAACTTTGGCAAATTGAATACTTGAATTCACAACATCTTCCACAACTAAAAATTCATCTAACTCGTTAATATATGAACCAACAAGAGCACATTCATTATTACACCATCACAAATTTTGATAAAAATAAGGTTAAAATCTTAATTTGGTCCCTTATAATATTTTAAAATTTTAATTTAATCTCACTTTAATTTTTATGTTTAATTTAGTCCCACCTATTAAAAATACTAACAATGTTTATCTTTTATCTAAATTTTTCAAACGCCGTTTAGGAGTGTCCATATGATTGAGAATCACGAGTATGATTCTCACAACTCTTACTTAACAAATTCTTTTATGTGATATACATTGTGGGAATCACGAGCGTGATTAAGAAATACAAACGTGATTCTCACGACTCTTGAACGACATTTGAGAAATTTAGATGAAAGATAAATATTGTAAACATTTTTGATAGATAGGACTAAATTGAACCAAAAAATTAAAGTAGAACTAAATTAAAACTTTAAAATATTATAAGGGATCAAATTAAGATTTTAGCCTAAAAATAAACTAATTCATGCGTTTAAATGCTGTCTTTTAGCACCAACTTCAATCAGAATTCCAATGATAAAGATTTAGAAGTTAATGTTCTTACCGTTCTTAATCTAACTCAATCACGTTCATTTTAATTTTCTTACCATCTTTCATATACTCTCTTAGTAACTCTGGCAAGAATTCTAATTATTATGCAAATAATAAATCTAATATAAATAAATAAATTTAAAATAACTCTAATATAAATAATTGTCAAGCACACATGTTTGCAATTTTAAATAAAGTAATGCTAACAAACAAAATAATAGTTATTGAGATTAATGTCATCTAAATATGTATTACATAGTCAGCAAGTGACGGATGGGACTTCATCAAGTCATTTGGGCTTTTGACTCATGACTTTCAGGACTTGTGTACCACATGGTCGAGGGGCGATCGTACTCTAACGACAACACTTGTCATCGAACATCATTAAAATGACTAGA